GAGTGTCTACCCTTGAATAAACTAGTAAATAGGCCAACAGTCTATTTTTAAGGACCAAGCTGACCAGCAGCAGGAACTGAACCAAATAAGGAATGGAATTATAAGAGCCAAAGGATCTTTACAACAGCACTGAGCAAAAGCTGCTGTAAAGCAGATATATGTTAGAGTGATTGGCATGTAAGTGCTCTCCCCATCTTTCTCTGAAAGCTAATGAAAAATGATCTTTCTTCTCTTATGTATGGAAAAAACCAACCCCATACACCCCTTATGGAAAAACACCTCTTCTGCTTCTTTATTTCCTGCTTTTTTTCTGTTGAAATGAATACAAATGCAATGGCGGCTTCCATGTGGCAGACATTGTCAATCACAGCTTTCAGAGCATCAGGATAGATATGCACTTGTAGGATCCATTGCGGGCCACTTCTTGGCATCTGAATAAGGAATAAATACATCTGACTGAACAACAAATGTTCCTTTGCACTTCAGTTCCATTTTGATTTTCAATAGGTCTACTCTGACTCAATCAAGGTAAACTGCATGAAACAGAAGAGGCTTAATGCTTTCTCTAAACCTCATATTCCTCTGGTTAATTTAGAGAAGAGTCTGTATCCTACATAATTTCAAAGGTGCTTAAGCTCTGCTATCCCTCTCCTTGCAGTTTTAGTCCAGCTGGACTTCAGAAACCATCGGCTACATGAAATAACCTTGTGGATTAATTAGAAAATGTACACAGAAGGTGGGTGGGGCATGCCAGTTAAACACCGGTTAAAATGCCAGTCAACTAAATGTGACAAGTTTGTATTCACAACCAATTCACATGTAACCAATGACAAAAAATTTAGAGGCAGGCAAATTTTGTAATACTTGTGGTGTTTCTGTGGAATATGATAGGGCAAATATCTATAAACTAAATACTGACTATATTGTGCAAACCCCAGGATACTGACTTGGCACATCCACTGTTCCACAGTAGGCTGTGTCAGAATCAGGACCAAGCATAGAAAATGATGGTGTATTAGAATAAAAAATGAATAATAGGAATTATTAGGAGTTATGCGGTGTCTTTTACTAAAAATAAAAAACTTTGTGGAATGCCATGTCCAATTACTTCACAGTGATATGAAACTTGCACTCAATACTCTCTATTTCATCACTGGTTCAAATGCCTACCAATGTGTTGAAGTATTCAAGTTTGTTTGTTGATCTGTCCCTCTGTTGAGTATGAATTTTTGCTTACATACACAAATGATTATTTAACTGAACAACTGTTACAAAATCTTCTGAATTGCAAGAAGTGTTAAAGTATTATATTCAACATTTTTTTGCAACAGGTGGTAATATAATATGCAGTACTAGGAAATTTTGCAAAAACATCAGGAGATGGTAGAAATTAGGAGGAATAGCAGGATCCATAAGGTAAGTTTCAATTTTGCACAAGCACCAAGTTTATCTGTCATTATTTTAAGGTAAATAATAAAATATAGACTAACTTCAGAACTATTTTGCTTTTTGATGGCCAAAAGGAACACCCACTGATAATCTGTGTTTTATGAAGGTAGATTGCTTTGAAAGTGGAGGTGTTCGCCAAAGTGTAATAAAAGGAAGGTAAATATTAGATAATACTGCTCCAGTTCTCTCAGTACTTTTCGGGAGTCTGATTTGTATAGTTGAAGACTTCAGGCACTGCCTAACATGTAATAATCTATTTTGATTTAGAGAATTGCCTTTACAACTTTTAAAAAATACATACTCAATATGCTTATGAAACAAACACAATGCAGGCACCAACAAGGCTTCTTCCAAACTTGTGTTTCCATTTAAAACTTTATTTTGTATGTTCAGAACATCACCAGAAACATAGAAACTTGTAGGCACAAATGACTTCATATCCAGAGTTTTTGAATAAAATATTAGCTAATGAAATTGCAACAACACATATTCATGATAATCATATAGCTTAATATTTCATATATACATATAAAAGTCATGCGTTGCAAAGAGTCATTTTGTCTAGATCATGTTTTCTGGGTGCTAAAATTCACTGTAGATCTTACGTGTTTTAAATACGTCTTTTTTTTTAATATATTTTAAAGAGTTTATTATACTGATAACACATTCCGAGATAAAACACAAAATATAATAAAGCTGTATATTTTCTTTATTTACCTTAAAGTTTTTTCCTGTATTAAAAAAAATAAAATGTATGAGTAATAAGTATGTAAGATATGTAAAATCTAGTAGTATAAACTAGGGTGACAATGAAAGGGTATAAAATATGGGGGTTTTTGAGTCTGTGGTCCATGAGTAATATTGCTTCCATACTGGCCTTGCAAGTCCATGAAATAATTCATTGCTTATTACATAGCAGGTGAGGAATCAAGTGGGAATTAAAGGAAATGGTCCTCAGCCTCACAACTGGCAGCTACTTGTTTTATTTCCACCTTTCCATACAATTACTCTTTTATTGCTATGAGGCACATTCAAAAAAAAAAGTCCAGGGCCGAATTTCGGCCTGTAATATCCTTGCAGTCATAACAGTTTGAGTAATTTAAATCCCCTATATTTTACATCTAAAAGATTCTTTTCTATGTAAATAATTCCTCCAGTTAAAGTAATAATGTTAAAAGGACCTATGTCTTTATATGGCCTTTTTTTTCTTTGAGTTTCTACCATTATTCCATGCTGGCTGCTTAGGCATGTACCATGCATGACGACCTTTGGCACCAACGTGTTAAGATGTCTGTACTGCTGACCTCTGTAGGTGACTCATTACTCCTTAAGTGTGATCATTCTTTTGATTTTCCAGTTTCATTAGCGGAATCCAATGCTGTGAAGATGAGATTCATCAGGCATTTGCTTACAGAGTAGATGTATAAACATTTATAAAAGTCTTACTAAACGTAGTGGTTTTAAAAGTTTTGCACACCTGATCTGGAAATACTGATTGATCTATTGACAAACTGACCAGAAAAAGATGCATTTAGCTGTATAAGCCATACCAGGTTTCTTTATGTGTTCTAGAAACTATTTAAGAACGTGAAGAGACAGTCTGACCAAACGCAGAGTGAGCACTGGACTGGGACTGAGGAGATCTGCTGTTGTTCCTGGGTCTGCCACTAGCCTGCTGGGCAGCTGATGTGCTGACGCTTCCTCTCTTTGTGCCTCAGTTTCACCGCCTGAGCAGTTAAGACAATGATGCAGTCCATTTTGTAAAATACTTTGAGATTTATAGAGAAGAAGCATCGTGCAAGAGCCAGGAACTTATTGTTAAGGAAAAGCTTTAACTTTTTTTCATGTCCTCTCCAATTTTCTCTTCTAACGCAATGAAGTAAACACACAGAATTCTCTCTTCTTTGAAATCAGTGGGACTTTTACGCTTGATTTTAATGGTACCAGAATTTCTTCTGAGTGAATGACAAAAGTTGTGCTCCTTTCTAGACAGTGCTAATAGCAATTCTTGCTCAAAGAAATGTACACTATCACTCTACCTGTGATATGTCTGCACTTTTGCTTTAAAGGTGGACAGTAAGCAAGCGACAACTCCAAGAGGAACAAGGTAACAATTTTTAATGCAAATACTGCATTTGAACAGCTCCTAGAAGACAATTATAATGCAACAGCATGCATACTAATATTACTAGTACTGTAGCTTATACAATTTTCATGTGTCCTTTAAAAATGTATGTGCTGCTTCTAGCTTAGATGGTCTTTGTTATCAGTAGGATACATACTTTACTTATGCCTATTAGTTTTTAAAAAAACCTTTGGAGAGAGATCCAGAAAAGCACACATTTTGTACACTGTTTCCTCTTCCAAAGGTTTTGAGAAGAGCAGTTTCCCCGACAGAGTGGTTTAAACCACTTTTTTTTTCTATTCTGAACTTCATATTGCATTATAACAAAGTACTGACTTCAACTGTTAATATGCCAAATCCTGTAGTACTTATCCCAGCAAATCTTCTCTTAAGACACTCTTGTGTGCTCTAACTCCAGATATAGGATTTGGTTGCATAAATAGTCACAGCAGTTCAAATCATGAGTTTAAATGGTAAATACAAAACCCTTCAGACAATATAAAGGCAATGGATCTAGTAGTGCATGAATGCAAAACCATTCTAATTGGACTATAGTAATGCAAAGAAGTTTCACTCAGCTAATCTAGCAATTTGAATAAAAGCTTTGTATACTACACCAACACCTCTCCAAGGGTACCACCAGTTCAATAGACTTTCCGTTCATTCACTAATCACACATCGTGTGTTCATTTAACCATCAGCAGCATTTGAACTGAGCCTTTCCCACAGAGGCTTTTGTAGGGGACTCCCCAGCCAGTCCTCCCTGGGGAAGCTTTCTGTTTGTGTATGTACACCATTTTTATACAATCTGATGTTCTCCACAGGCAGAACAGAAGGCATCTGCTCTTCTGGAATATATTGGGGCCAGAAGCACAGGTCATTCTTGAAGCGATGGGTCCAGAAAAGGAGATGATCTCTGTCTCTCTCCTACAGTGGATGGCTGAAAAGGAGATGATCTCTGTCTCTCCTACAGGGAATGGCTTTTGCTCATCCTTCAGTTCAAACACTACATCATACTAGAAAGAAATCTCATGCTGGGGGGTAGAGAGAATATCTGTTCCTTTTAACTGTGCTGCCCCCACACTTCCTTTCAGTGTGAAATAGCTCATTTATTTGGCAAATTTGAGACTACCTTTATGCACACTGCCCCACCAGTCAGTAATGAAAATTGCGATGAATTATTTGTCCACAGCATTATCATTATCACGGATGTGATAATGCCATCCAGCATGCATTTATATGGTTCTAGGTTTCTTCACGGCCATTTCTTTGTTTTTCTTCTAACATTATACATTGTCTTCTCTAGCAGTTATGTGCAAATGTAAATAATATGAAATTGACTTTCCAAAATTTTTCACATTATGCTAATGATGAAATTTCACTTCTTCTGTAAATTACAAAATTAGATATCCCGGTCCATCTTTCTTTTTTCCTGGTTTTTTTCGCTGATAGCTAGAGTACATGATTTTCTAATTGTTGGCTTTTTTCATAGCAACCACAGCAACTCATTTTTTTCAACTTCCAAATATTTCTTTTGAAACAGGTACTAATGAATAGGGTCTTGCATGGTTGTTTGCTGTCTATAGGTTTTACATGAGTATTACCAGACAGATGAGACTGCATGACTGACTTTGGACAGTGTAATTTCACATCACCACACATTTGCCTTTCAGCTTCTCTTTCCTTTTCTGCTGCTTGCTTTTTTTGCCATCAATCTGTAAACTCACAGTCCTGCGTTTCTCTAGGTTTAGCAATTCTTGGAATAACTCTTTCACATTGTGGTTCAGCTTGGCAGAGGTCTCCATGAAGGCACATTTCCACTTCTTAGCCATGGCTTCCCCTTCGCTGCTGTCCACCTCTCGATTTTGGTTCTCATCATTTTTGTTCCCCACCAGCATTATGGGAATGTTTTCTACGTCTCCTTTAATCTGACATATTTGTTCATAGATCGGTTTGAGTTCCTCCAAGGACTGTCGGCTGGTGATAGAGTAAACCAAAATGAAAGCATGTCCTTTAGAAATAGAAAGACGTTGCATGGCTGGAAACTGATGGCTCCCTGTAGTGTCAGTTATCTGCAAAGTGCATATGCTCTTATCACAGCTGATCACCTGCCGATAGGTGTCTTCGATGGTAGGGATGTAGCTCTCTCTGAAAGTGCCCTTCACAAATCTCAAGACCAAAGAACTTTTGCCTACTCCTCCAGCTCCAAACACAACAACCCTGTAATCATTGCTTTGCTCAGGCATGTTTCTCGGGGTGTCTGTTGTTCAGCTAGGGGGAAAAGTCTAGGAAAGAAAATGACAAAAACAACAAGGCAGACATTAATACAGGTACATGTCCAGAGTGCACTTTGTGATATCTTTCCCAATGAGAGAAAAGAATGTGGTATAAGTGATGGCATACTAGTTGTAATAATTTGAGAAGACTTGCAGTGGGTTACAGAATGATTTATTTCAATAGTAATTTAGTATTTGCAATCCAGCAAATGGCAACAAAAGACCATCTTCATCACTTCATGACTTAAGTTAATTTAACATTGTGAGTTTCAGTATTCTTTCTTCTGGACTAATATCCCCAGAAATAAAAATCTGCATTTGGGAAATGGTATTTCAGCAAGGTTCCAGGCCCAAACAAATTGTAGAAACTGAATTACTCTGCTGTCTCTAGAACAAGTCTCCTCCCCAGTCACTGCTGAAACGCACCAGTATACACATGTATGACAGTCAGATATTCTAAACATGCCATCTCTTCAGTAGTTAGGGAATTTATCTCCACTACAACTGGACAACACTCCTGAGTGACATCTAAGACATATTTGTAGCTTATTCAGCAATAGCACCAAGTATGCTTTGTTTCTAACTCTGGGACCGTGTGCCCCACTTCAATAGGTCTTTCCACTTGCATTTCAGGTCAAAGAGCACATTTTGGTAAACAGAGATTCTTCATGTTCAGTCTGCCTTTTCATTCTATTCTTTATTTCGCAGCAGATGACATTTCACTGCAAACGTGCTACACTTATCAGAAAGGTTATGCAGACGTCTTCACAACATTTGTAAAAGTGGCTTACGTTGTCGAGGTTGGCAAATGCATATGTCAAAGGTGACAAAACTCTGTGATCCCTGAAGTCAGTTCCCCTTGACAAAACCTGTCTGTAAACAGCAGGGCCACAAAAATTGTCATCACTGTTAAATAACAGAAATGGTAGAGGTTTCACAGGGTTGCAAGCTGTAGTTGTTTTAGAATTCATTAAAATAAACATGGAGATGGATTTGTTCTCTCATCAGTAGTAGCTCATCAGGTACGCAGCATACATAAGTCTCTTTTTATATTTAGTGAGATTTAAGCAATTAAACACTAAAAAATTGAACCCCAGAAGCTGAAGATAGTCTAGGATATTGTTACTTTTCAGATCAAAACTAGATATATAAAAAGTACGTGTGGAACAAACTGCAAAATTTGCTGCACCTATGTTTGTTCTTAGGAAAATGGGCTAATTTAATAGGGAACCTTGTCCAAGTGCCCTAATGGTGCCAGGTGATTGAATTGCATGTTGTAATGTTGCCTGGGTAGCAGCTAATCCAGAACAACCCAAAGGGATTTCTTACTCAATAAGGAAAGCCTTCAAGCTATTTCTTCATTGCAGCAGCAGGAGTGATTGCATTGTGGGGCAAGATTTTAAGTTATTCTTTACCTGTCTAGTGCAGGGGAATAGAAGTGATCCTGTAGAGGTATGGATGTGAGTGGATGCCCCCCTGACCTTACCCAGTTGCCAGCCCACACTGAATTTTGTTCTTCTGCATCTTTGATGCTGTTGCTGCCTGTACCAATTAGATTAAAGCTATGGTTACCCATGCTTCACTAGTCTTCATTTTGCTGTTCAAGCATACTCTGATTTTGTTATCCTTCTTGTCCAGAGCATCCTATTCTGTCCTAATTCTAACGTCTAAGTAAGCTGAAAACATCTGTCTTTACATAATGTGTTGGACGAAGGAGTTGTACTTCCTCATCTGCCACACCGTAGGCAGAATAACCCATGCAGTTAACTGGGGATGCTGATCCTGAGACAAACTGGAGAGCTGTCACAGGCCTGCCTGCCCAGCCTGGCTTCAGGCAGAAGGCAGCCTCACCCCTTCCATCGCTCCTACGCTGCAGTCACTGTCACTCTCAGATACCTGTTTAAATATAGGAGAAGACTGATAAATAAGAGTGTTCATCCTGAGGCACTGAAGCAAAATTGTTTCTCTCTGACAGCAGTATTCAAGGGACGGAAAGACGAGTAGTCTCAGAAAACACTGATGTATGTGTTTATATAAAAGGGAAAACCCTCTGAGGAACAAGGAAAATGGGCAAGCAGCTCACGCTGTTGAGAAGACAAAAAAACCTAAAGCGGATAGCAGGAAATGAGAACAGAGGAATCTAGCGGGACACTGTTTCACTGAGAATAAACCTGTACCTAAGAGCTGCAAACATGCAAATTCAAAACAGTCGTAGAGCTTAGAGTCATGGGTGACTGCACAGAATGAGCTACCATAAGAATTACAGTTTAATAATTTTTGTGAGCAAAAAGGCAAGGGAGAAAAACATCTGTTTCACCCCAGAAGCGGCTTAAGCGTTTCACAATCAGATAATGTGTGGCCTAGGAACTATGGGATCATGAGAAAAAATGCACTATGAAAGTTTTCATTATGAAAATCAGTGAAATATGGAGTAGAGAAATAAAATTTAAAAGCTAGCTGAGTGTACTCCTGCTAGATTAAACTTCATGCTTTAAGCATACTCGGAAATCTCCAGGAAAACTGGCACATATCATTGCACAAAAGTTAGGACAAATTGAAATGCGGCACTTAATGGCATGAAGTATTAAGCATCTGAAAAGTTTCTAAGGGAACCTGAAATGGCACGGTAACAGTCTTCAAATACATAGTAAGTTGTTGCAAAGAGGGAGAGTGTACATCTGTAGTGGAAAAAACCTGGAATTAATGGGCTTACATTGTTGTGGTGGGTTGACCCTGGCTGGAGGGCAGGTGCCCCCCAAAGCCGCTCTATCACTGCCCTCCTCAGCTGTACAGGGGAGAGAAAATATAACGAAAGGCTCGCGGGTGGAGATAAGGGCAGGGAGAGATCACTCACCAATTACTGTCACGGGCAGAACAGACTCTACTTGGGGAAATTAGTTTAATTTATTACCAATCAAATCAGAGTAGAGTGATGAGAAATAAAACCAAATCTTAAAACATCCCCCCACCCCACCCCTCCCTTCTTCCTGGGCTCAACTTCAAGCATCCACCTGCTCCAGCGTGGGGTCCTCCACAGGCTGCAGGTGGAATCTCTACACCCCCTCATCCTTCCTCCATGGGCTGCAGGGGGACAGCCTGCTTCAACATGGTCTTCACCACAGGCTGCAGGGGGATCTCTGCTCCGGTGTCTGGAGCACCTCCTGCCCCTCCTTCTGCACTGACCTTGGTGTCCACAGAGCTGTTCCTCACATCTTCTCACTCCTCTCTCCAACTGTTGATACACAGCAACTTTTTCCTCATCTTAAGTAAATTATCCCAGAGGCACTATCATTGTCCTTGATTAGCTCAGCCTTGGCCAGCAGTGGGTCCGTCTTGGAGCCGGCTGGCATTGGCTCTGTCAGACACAGGGGAAGCTTCTGGCAGCTTCTCACAGAAGCCACCCCTGTAGCACCTCCTCCTACCAAAACCTTGCCATGCAAACCCAATACAATTGTATAACAGTTTCACATTAGACAATCAAAAAACTTTACAGTGGTAAGAAAAGCACAGCTATTGCTTAGGGCAGTTTTGCAGACTGTCTTTAGAAATCACCATAGAATCACAGGATAAGTAAGGCTGGAAGGAACCTGAAGAGGTCTCTGGTCACAGCAGGGTCAGCCATGAGCCCAGACAAGGTTGTTCTGTCCTGTCAGGGTTCAAAAACCTCCAGCATTTCCCACAGCCTCTCTCAACCTGCTTCCCTGCTAAATTACCCTCAGTACGATTTTCTCTCCCTTATATTCTGTCTGAACTATTTGTGTTTCAAATCATAGCTGTTGTGTCTCCTCACACCATCCATTGCTGTGAAGTTTGCCTCCATCTTCTCAATGGCTTTCCTGTAGGTTTTAGGGGCTGATGTTTGGCCCCCCCGAACTGTGCCTTCTCCAGGCTGAGCCAGCCCTGGTCCCCCAGCCTGCAGGGCAGGACAGTGCTGCAGCCCTGGACACCTTGGTGCCCCCGGTGCCCCCATCTGAACCTGCTCCAGTTTACTGATGTGTTTCCTCTACCGGGGATGCCAAAACCGGACAAACTACATAGCTGTTATCTCATGAGTCCTGAGCAGAGGGGGATTATCACTTCCCTCGACCGACTGGCCATGCTCCTGTGCATGCAGCCCACGACAGGGTGGGTCTTCGTTGCAGCCAGGGCCGCTGCTGGCCATGCCCAGCTCGCTGCCCACCATGGTCCCACAGTCTTCTCCACAGAGCTGCTCCCCAGCCTGGATTGCTGCAAAGGAGCAGCAACCTTAGCTGCTGTTTAGTCTGTCCCACATGCAGGTCTGTTAGTCCTAAAGAACCTCAGTTTTACCAAGATAAAAAATACAGCTTACTTAATTTTTTGTCCTGCTCAGGAGCTGGGAGCAAACAAAACAAAAAAGCTCATGCAAGGCTTTTTGATCGCACCCAAGAAAGGCTTGCCTAAATAATTCTTACCATGTGGTTGTATTCTCTGCGTGGATCTGGTCTGGAATTCTCCTGCAGTGAAAATCATTTTGTGTGACTGTGATGCACTTGCACCTAATTGTCCATTTGTTAATGTTTTTCATACTGTCCTATTAGTGCATTGATTTTTCTTTGTCTTAAAATACATTAACTAAAACACACAACAGGACAAAATAAAGCGCCAGATTGTTTCATCAGCTTTCAATATTCTGGCCAATGCGGGTATGGAAAAATTGACTTGAAAGAAGTCTGACTTTTCAAGATGTACAATATCCTCTCTGATTCATACTTTGAGAACCTGTTTTATCGTAGAATCATAGAATCACAGAATCATA